GGCTCTGCCCGGGGTGGCCCCGGGTTGTGCGCCAGCGGCGTTAGCCAGACTGGGCAGGCTGGGAACCTGCATCCTTCCCCTGCCAGCTCTATGTGCCCTCCCTCACGCACTGGGTGGGGGCAGGGCCGCACATGCACCCTCCCCCTCATGCTGGCATGGGGGCGGGGCCACACAAGTGCCCTCCCCCAAACTGTCTGCCTGGGGCGCCAGAATGTCTCTGTCCGGCCCTGTGTGTGTGTGTGTGTGTGTGTGTGTGCATTTTGCAGTGATTTGTACATAAAGTCAGTGTTCTAGGATAGCTCGCTTCTCCCCTCAGACTGTTCATTCTCCTTCAGAATTCTAGTAACTGCAGAACATCAGATTAGGCCTGGCCTGCAGTCAACTCAATTCCTCACTGTTGGAGTGAAATTGTTCCTCGGTTTCCCTAGAAAAGTCACGCGAGGAATTGCCTCAGAGGTCCAGTATGTGGCATTGCAGTTCTTGAAGATACCAGGCCAGAGACGTATCTTCAGCTTGTGTAAACTGTCTGAGCGCCACTGACCTCAATACACGATGCTGGTTTATACCTGCTGAAAGGCTGAGTCACTGCTTGCGTCAGGAGGCAGAAAGTTTTGCCTATGAAAAATAGTGAGTTTCATCAATGGCAAAAGGAAAGGCAAAATAATAAACTTCCTAGATTTTACTCCCACCTGTAGCTGGTTGGATTATTTTCATTGTGAACGAATTATCCCAAAGACTGAGCCTTTTTTCCGTTCATGAACAACTCATCCTGACAGCAGACACTGCATTTGTTATTCAGAGATATTCAAAGAATAGTCTGGCCAAATAATTTAACCTAGGAGCTGTTTGAAGGCTCTTCATTTTGGTTATTTGATCAAAGCAGATCACCTAGGTCATGTGGTGGTGTTCCAGAACCCTTACTGGACGGATTAAATGCTTTACACAAAGGAATTCATTAATAAATAATGGTGATTATCCAATTGTAAATAATGAATTGGCAAGCACGTTTGTTCCTGCACAAATGTCATACCCTTCTTCATAAGCACATGTCTATTCAAATGGGACAAAATTCTCCCCTATACAGAGGGCCCAGACAAGACGTCTGCACCCATCAAATACCACTTAATTCTTAAAGACATGGTAATGGATCATATGGCCCAGAGAGTTTTGTTATGCAACTAAGAGGTCCTTTTTCATTAATAGTGCACTATTATTGCTAAAAGTCCAGATACCCCCCACGCTCTTAGAAATTAATTGAAATGTAATTAAATGGTATAATCAAATTAATTGAAACATATGTAGTCAAAGTAGAGCTAAAACTGGGGGCAAGTAATATACCTGCCCCTTTGCCACACTGCCAATATTTGTGGCTTTACATTCACATTTAAAATAAAGGTTTTCTCTTCTGTTGCCATGTAAAACATTTGCATAAAGAATTGAGGGAACTGACTATTAAATGACCAGAGTGAAACTGACTATTCGAATGGATCGAAAATTGGAAAATTTCCATCTCAATTTCAGTTTTGACATTTTCTGTCAAAAAAACAATGACCAAGCAAACATGGACGGACGATTCCTGACCAGCTCAGCTGACTGCATGCAGAATGCTGCTTTAATGCACAAAAGTAAATGAACTAAAATAACCGCAGAGACACATCCCCTCTCCTGCGAATTCAGCTTCATTCACTAACAGAGATCTCAGATAATACTCATGACAACAGTGGGGGAAAAAGGGTCTAAACAGAAATATGACTTTTAAATGGATCGAGTCCCGTGCTTAGAGACCAATGCTTCCCTACATTCCATTTCAAAGACAGAAAACCAGTGCTACAAAGAGCATCAATGATGTTTCTGAGTGTAATGGGTATTGCTGATACAGCAGCAGGGAGATGTAATTCCCAGCGAGGGCAGATATATACACGTGAGCTCCACTTCAGCTAGTATGCTAGAAATACTAGTGTGGCCACAGTGGCACCGATTGACCACCCATATACATACCCAGGAGGTTGGGGGCGATTGCTTCAGCCTGTCCTGCCACGGCCACACTGCTATATTCAGTGGACTAGCTTGAGCAGAACTAGCTCATATGTCTGCCCACACTGGGAATTACACCTCCCAGCCAGTGTATAGACCAGGAGTGGGCAATAATTTTCACAGGGGGGCCACTTCACAAATTTTGATATGTGGTCCTGGGACAGCTCTGGGCCTCCCAGAAGGGGTGCAGCTTCAGGAAGAACGGGTGGGGCTGGGGGCTACAGAGAGAGACAAAGAGAACATGTGAGTGTGAAAGAGATGCTGTGTGTGTGAGAGAGACTTTGTGACACAGACTGAGTGTGTGAGGCAGTGTGTATGCGACAGTGACTGTGTGTGTGGCACAGAGACAGTGTGGCACAGACTGGGGGTATGTCACAGTGACACAGTCTGTGTGAGTGCTGGCTGCTGCTGCGTAAGTTTCTAAGAGAAGGCACATGCTGTCTCTTTAAGGAAATCTGCCCTGCTCTGTTGTCTCCCCTTCTCCTCCGCCCTGCCCTCCTCTGAGTCATTTTTACCATCTACAATTCAGATTGGAGCAACTCCAAAACTGCGTGTCTTCCTCTTCCTGACCCCTGCTCTGCAGAGATGGGATACAGGGGTAGGGGAATACCCTGGACTTTGCAGCACACTTTTTCACAATTTATTTCATGCAACATTGGAAATATGTTGCATTGAGCTGGTTGAACCTTTCTGAATTCAAAACATTTTCATGCAAATTATTTGAAGATTTCCATCATTTTTTTTCATTGACTTCTTTGGCTACATCTTTTAAAAGGAAAAGTTTGAAATGTTGATGAAACATTTTCAGTAAAGGTATCTACAATTTTTGCCAGACATTTTCATCAACCTTCAGTCAGTTCTAATATGAAGTATGTAATATGAGAACTTTAGACAAATCTGTCTGCCAGCTTGGATCCATGTCTAATTGTATATCAGAGTAGTTAAGGGTTATATGGCTCAGATTTGCCCTAGATTTTTTAATCTAAATGTGGCTAATATTGGCAATGTTCCTTTTGAAACAGAATATCTGTCACCTTCATTTGTGTGTGGAGCAACACTATGAAATAACATGACAATTAATTTTAAAAGTTAACATAAGTCATCTCATGTCATTTTGACAGGCATGTATGGGCTGATGAAGAAGCCTTCAGTCCTGATGTGGGAAGAACAGGAGCCAGAAACAAACAAATTATCTGAGGAAAAAACGACTTGTATATGGAAGAATGTTCGCATCACTCCAGGTAGGATAAACATTAGACAGTTGAGCACATTTGAATATGTTGCTCCTTCTTAATCCCTTTCTAGACACAGGGGCTACGTCTACACTGGCCCCTTTTCCGGAAGGGGCATGTAAATTTCACCAGTCGTCGTAGGGAAATCCGCGGGGGATTCAAAGTAGGAATAAGACCCTCCGGAAAAGGGCGCTTTTTCCGGAGGATCGGGGCCAGTGTAGACGCTCTTTTCCGGCTTTTTTAAAAGCCGGAAAAAAGCGGCGGACATTTTTATTTAAATGCCGCGGGGGATATTTAAATCCCCCGCGGATTTCCCTACGACGACTGGTGAAATTTACATGCCCCTTCCGGAAAAGGGGCCAGTGTAGACGAGCCCAGGGGGAAAAGTATTGGAAAAAATGTGTAAGCCTATGGCTACTTCTAGACTGGCATGATTTTCCCGAAATGCTTTTAATGGAAAAGTTTTCCGTTAAAAGCATTTTCGGAACAGAACGTCTAGATTGGCACGGACGCTTTTCCGCAAAAGCACTGACTTCCTACTGTCTGAAATCAGTGCTTTTTGCGGAAATACTATGCTGCACCCATTCGGGCAAAAGTCCTTTTGCGCAAAACTTTTGCGCAAAAGGGCCAGTGTAGACAGATCAGATTTGTTTTCCGCAAAAAAGCCCCGATCGCCATTTTCACAATTGGGGCTTTTTTGCGGAAATCTCGTCCAGATTGGCACGGACGCTTTTCTGCAAAAAGTGCTTTTGCGGAAATTCAAGCGGCCAGTGTAGACAGCTGGCAAGTTTTTCTGGAAAAGTGGCTGATTTTCCGGAAAAACTGGCCAGTCTAGACACAGCCTATTTGTTTTAAGAAAGATGGTTTTTAAACATCACTCCACACCTCCAATGACAGGGCTCAATACCTTTAAAAATATGGTAGCTGTTCCTACTCAACTTTACACTCCACCTGTCACCATGGTTGACAAAAATTACCTTTAAAAACATATTTAAAATCACACATATATTATTTTCTAAGCAGGGCCTTACTGTCACTAGAAAACAGCAAACAATCAATTTTCCCGTTCAGTGACCAAACTAGGCTGTGGGGAGAGAAATCGGTTCAGCTTGAATGAAATGTTTCATTTAATTCTTGGGTGCCACCCTTTTAAAAAGTTAATTCCTGTTAAATTTCCAAACAAAATGGTAGCATTTTGATTTGAAAATATCTATTTTTTTAACAAATCACTTTTTTTGATACTTTTTTTTTACCCCCATAGGGCTTTTTTAAAGTCAAAACTCTTCTCTGAATTTGACCCAAATTTATGAACAAGTTTGGTCAACCTGACACTTCATTTTTCAGTCAATAAACTATTCACGATAAAATGTCACCCAGCCCCAGTTGTGATGTGAGGGGCAAAATTCTCTGAGGTGCTGAGCGCCTTTGGTTCCCATGGCTGTCATGGTGGTTGACATTTAAGCCAATGGGGGTGAAGAACAAGGCATAACAATTTTTGAGAGTCTTCATATCTTAAAGGATCGGGTCTTTATCTGGGCAAGGGTTTTCCTCTGGTTTTTTTTTCATACATTTGACTAAATAGAAAATGATGAGAGTATTGGCCTAGGCTAATACTTAATTTGTAGCAAGCTAGGGTGCAGTTCTCTCCTGCACTAGTCTGCTATGCAGTAAGGGAATGTCTACATCTGAAATGTTATTCCAGATGTTATTCCGAGCTCACATTGATGCACCTATGCTGGGTCTGCTTGAGCTAGTGTTTAAAAGCAGCAGCGTGTCCACGGTTGCATTCTTATCTTTGCAGCTTTCCTTATGGCACTTCTCTTCCTCCCTGTGAACTATGCAGTGACTTTTGCAAAGAAGAAAAGCCTGCAGTTACTTACTAGCCCGAAGAAATCCAAAAACTGACAGGTCAGACAACCTCTGCATCCCAGATACATCCAGCCTGACAGAGTCTCCATTCACATCACACTTCCAAGCAGCCACTGCCCCAAACTTCAAAAACCAGGGTCATCCCAAAATCTGGGGACTTCAGACCTGAGGCTACTTTCAACTGTTTGGAAATAGGGGCTGTTGGCAAAATTCAGAACTGGATTTGTGCTTTGATTTCTGGTGCCCACAAAAGCACCTCGGAGGTATTCAGGCAATCCCACAGATTTCTAGGGGAGTTAGGCACCTAACCACCTTTTCAGACCTGGGCCCTAGAGCCTGATTGAAGTCCCACTGAAGTTAACTTGGCATAGGTGCATTTTGAAAGGATTATTAGAAATGGAAATAAATCAGAATCATAGAATCATAGAATAATAGGACTGGAAGGGACCTCGAGAGGCCATCGAGTCCAGCCCCCCGCCCTCAAGGCAGGACCAAGCTCCGTCTACACCATCCCTGACAGATGTCTATCTAACCTGTTCTTAAATATCTCCAGAGAGGGAGATTCCACCACCTCCCTTGGCAATTTATTCCAATATTTGACCACCCTGACAGTTAGGAATTTTTTCCTAATGTCCAATCTAAACCTCCCCTGCTGCACTTTAAGCCCATTACTCCATGTCCTGTCCTCAGAAACCAAGAGGAACAAATTTTCACCTTCCTCCTTGTGACACCCTTTTAGATATTTGAAAACCACTATCATGTCCCCCCTTAATCTTCTTTTTTCCAAACTAAACAAGCCCAGTTCATGAAGCCTGGCTTCATAGGCTTCTCTAGACCTTTAATCATTCTTGTCACTCTTCTCTGTACCCTTTCCAATTTCTCCACATCTTTCTTGAAATGTGGCGCCCAGAACTGGACACAGTACTCCAGCTGAGGCCTAACTAGTGCAGAATAGAGCGGCAGAATGACTTCACGAGTTTTGCTTACAACACACCTGTTGATACAACCTAAAATCATATTTGCTTTTTTTGCAACAGCATCACACTGTTGACTCATATTCAACTTGTGGTCCACTATGACCCCTAGATCCCTTTCCGCCATGCTCCTTCCTAGACAGTCGCTTCCCATCTTGTATGTATGGAACTGATTGTTCCTTCCTAAGTGGAGCACTCTGCATTTCTCCTTATTAAACCTCATCCTGTTTACCTCCGACCATTTCTCTAACTTGCTAAGGTCATTTTGAATTATGTCCCTATCCTCCAAAGAAGTTGCAACCCCACCCAGTTTGGTATCATCTGCAAACTTAATAAGAGTACTCTCTATCCCAATATCTACATCATTGATGAAGATATTGAACAGTACGGGTCCCAAAACAGACCCTTGAGGAACTCCACTTGTTATCCCTTTCCAGCAGGATTTAGAACCGTTAACAACAACTCTCTGACTACGGTTATCCAGCCAATTATGCACCCACCTTATCGTGGCCCTATCTAAGTTATATTTGCCTAGTTTATCAATAAGAATATCATGCGAGACCGTATCAAATGCCTTACTAAAGTCTAGGTATATGACATCCACCGCTTCTCCCTTATCCACAAGGCTCGTTATCTTATCAAAGAAAGCTATCAGATTAGTTTGGCATGACTTGTTCTTCACAAACCCATGCTGGCTATTCCCTATCACTTTATTACCTTCCAAGTGTTTGCATATGATTTCCTTAATTACCTGCTCCATTATCTTCCCTGGGACAGACGTTAAACTGACCGGTCTATAATTTCCTGGGTTGTTCTTATTCCCCTTTTTATAGATGGGCACAATATTTGCCCTTTTCCAGTCTTCTGGAATCTCCCCTGTCTGCCATGATTTTTCAAAGATCATAGCTAAAGGCTCAGATACCTCCTCTATCAGCTCCTTGAGTATCCTGGGATGCATTTCATCAGGACCTGGTGACTTGCTGACATCTAACTTTCCTAAGTGATTTTTAACTTGTTCTTTGTGTATCCTATCTTCTAAACTTACCCTCTCTCTGCTTGTATTCACTACGTTAGGCACACCTCCAGACTTCTCGGTGAAGACCGAAACAAAGAAGTCATTGAGCATCTCCGCCATTTCCAAGTTCCCTGTTACTGCTTCTCCCTCCTCACTAAGCAGTGGGCCTACCCTGTCCTTGGTCTTCCTCTTGCTTTTAATGTATTTATAAAAGGTCTTCTTGTTTCCCTTTATGCCTGTAGCTAGTTTGATCTCATTTTGTGCCTTTGCCTTTCTAATCTTGCCCCTGCATTCCCGTGTTGCTTGCCTATATTCATCCTTTGTTAGTTGTCCTAGTTTCCATTTTTTATATGACTCCTTTTTTATTTTGAGATCATGCAAGATCTCCTTGTTAAGCCAAGCTGGTCTTTTGCCATATTTTCTATCTTTCCTACACAGCGGAATTGTTTGCTTTTGGGCCCTTAACAACGTCCCTTTGAAATACTTCCAACTCTCCTCAGTTGTTTTTCCCTTCAGTCTTGCTTCCCATGGGACCTTACCTACAAGTTCTCTGAGCTTATCAAAATCTGCCTTCCTGAAATCCATAACCTCAATTGTGCTGGTCTCCCTTCTACCTTTCCTTAAGATCATGAACTCTATTATTTCATGATCACTGTCCCCTATACTGTCTTCCACTTTCAAGTTCTCAACTAGTTCCTCCCTATTTGTTAAAACCAAATCCAGAACAGCTTCTCCTCTGGTAGCTTTTTCAACATTCTGAAACAGAAATGAATGTCTCTCTACTTTTGTCTGTGCATACTCACCGGTGGCTGTGTACAAACAGTGAGGATGTGATATGGAAGGGAAACCATTTGAGTCTGAAAGGGACCATTAGAATGAAATCAGAATGAATGAAATTGTTCAATGCTGAATAAAGAGATAAGCTCCCCAAATATATTTATTTCAGCAGGGAAGGAAACTTGTGGAATGACTCAACATGTTAAAAATGCCACAATGAAAAAGAGCCACAGCATGGAGCAACTGGGAAAAGAACTGATTGATTCCTGACCTGCTAGAATTAAGTGCTGAATGATAGCTCCAAACTCATTCATAAGACAATGAGACATCATTGTGAATTAGATCTGGATGGAAGACTATTCTCCTAATTGTATTGCAGGTCTGTAATGTACTTTCAAATCATATTTGTAACCGAGAGCACGGGTGAGATGTTGAAATTGTACCGGGATAAATGATCTAAGCTGAAAGGGACTAATGGAAAACTTTTTGGAAAGGCTTCTGAATGTTAAGCTTTCAATGTACACTGTGTCATGAGCTGGCTGAATCGATGGACAAAATGTTGGTCTTTCATCTCTCAAATTGCAATTCAGAGTAACCATTGCACATGTGAAATGTAGTCCAGTCCCAGCCTACAGAAAAGAACCGCAGTTAGATGTCAAACGAAGCCGAAACTTAACGTTTTAATTCAACAATGTCAAAAAAGGTTTTGTTTTGATTAAAGGTATTGAAATGAAATGTTTTAATATTTCTGAATTGAAAGTTTTGGTTTCTAGCCAAAGATGTTTGATCTTCAGGCAATCTGTTTTTCACCAAAAAGTAAAAATTTTCTGTGGAAAGCAGACATTTTAAATAATTCACTTGAACACCCAATTTGCAGTTGAGAAACAGTTTCAATGGAACTTTTTTAACCAGCCTCTGGTGAGCAATAACATTTTGTTCAGAAATTCTTTGTATTTTTGCGCACTTTTAAATGGCTGCTATTTCAAAGATGGGTGAACGATACCTATTTATATTCACAGTGGTATGTACAGTCTGATTTAAATTCCTTATTTGGACAAACTACCTGTTGGCCTCAATGAAATTTTGTTTGCTTAAGCACATTATGATGGCTTAGAATTTGTTTATAATGGTTTATTATCCTTTCAGATAAAAGGGACTACACATTTATAAAATTAGTGCTATAAGGCAAGTCCATTTTGAAACTCAGTCATGATATACATTCCCCAAAAATGTTTTAATACAAATTAGCTACATCAAAGTAATGCAGAAGATGTATGTGGAGTTTTTCAACGCTATCTAAGAGATCTGAATGCCCAACTCCCTTCTATTTCAGTGGTAGTCAGCCACTTAAATCATTAAAGCTATTTTGAAACAACATTGACATAGTTCACTGTTAAAGCCAGCAGGCTTTAGTATACCACTTAAAAGGCAAAGAACAACCTATTTTTACCAGACCAAAATATATACACAAAAACACAGAGCAGAGCAAACTTGATCAATTAAAACGCTCTTTTTTCTTAAGCAAATGTTTTTTCACAAAAAATTCTTTCCTCCATTCCTCAAAAAACATCTTTCAGTGTGTGTGTGTGTGTGTGATGAGTGAGTGTGAGTGTGTGTGTATGTGTGAGAGAGAGAGAGACAGAGAGAATGTGCCATGAAAACATTTGCTTCAAAAAAAATAACCAGTTGGAGGGAGGGCATCATGCTGTAGGTCATTTTCAGGTTTTTAGACCCTTCCCCAAAAAATAGAAATATGAAAAAAGGGAGATAAAAGAAAAGGATAAAGTGTAACAATTAAAAAACAAAAGCACAATTTCATTTTAGGTGTGAAAATGAATACCTTTCCTTTTATTCAATGTTTGGGGTTTTTTTGTTTTGTTTTTTGATTTTTTTTTCTGGGTGGATTTTTCTTTTCTTTTGTTCTGGTCAGAACACTGACAAAAATTCAAAAAGTTTTGAGAACTTTTCCTGGAAAACAATCCCCTCTCCCAGTTCCCCCAAAGATACCATTTTCCAGCCTGCTCTAATGAAAATGCAGCCGGGCAACAAATGCTCAGTCCCAAGGCAAATAAACCCTCAAATTCAAGAACTGACCATGGAATTGACAATCGACCTGAGCAGTAAAGCCCGGAACTTTCTCCCATTGAACTCACTAGCAATATGCCCATTTGTTTCACATGCACAAGCTGTAAATACACCCACTTTTCCTGAGTAACCCTGGAAAAATATTTCCCAGACAAAAGGGTGGGTTTTCTTTTTCATAGCAAGAGCACTTAGGGTATGTCTACACTACCCCGCTAGTTCGAACTAGCGGGGTAATGTAGGCATACCGCACTTGCAAATGAAGCCCGGGATTTGAATTTCCCGGGCTTCATTTGCATAAGCGGGGAGCCACCATTTTTAAAACCCCCACGGGGCACGAACTAGGTAGTTCGAACTAGGCTTCCTAGTTCGAACTACCATTACTCCTCGTGGAATGGTTCTTTTCTCCTCTCCCCCAAGTTTTGTACCTGAGGTTTACTTACACTGCACACGCTAACCCCAGGTAGAGTATGGAATGTGATACCTTCTGGGCTGCTTCTAGCTTCTGTCCTTGGAGTAGTGAGTTCATCTATAAACAGAGGCAGGATGACGAAGATAACAAAAGGTTTAAGGATTGTTAGATGATCCTGAAAGCATTGCCAGGCACTCCAGTTACCAGATAGGAAACAAAGGGCAGGAACAAATGGTCCGTTTTCAGAATGGAGAGAGGTAAATAATGGGATTCCCTGAAATCTGTACTGGAACCAGTGCTCTTTAACGTAAGAGGAGACTTATGGGGGAATATGATAGAGGTCTATAAAATCATGGCTCGTGTGGGAAAAGTGAATAAGGAAAAGTTATTTACTTATTCCTACAGTATAAGAACTAGGGGGTCAGCAAATGAAATAAATAGGCAGCAGTTTTAAAACAAACAAAAGAAAGTTTTTCTTCACTCAGCAAAATAGTCAACCTGTGGAACTCCTTGCCGGAGGATGCGGTCAAGGCTAGAACTTTAACAGTGTTCAAAAAAGAGCTAGATAGATTCATGGAGGTTAGATCTAACAATGGCTATTAGCCAGGATGGGTTGGAATAGTGTCCCTAGCCTCTGTTTCTCTGGAACTGGGAGACAGGGGAAGGATCGTGTGAGGATTACCTGTTGTGATCCCTCCATCTGGGGCATCTGGTATTGGCTACTGTCAGCTGACAGGATACTGGGCTAGATGGACCTTTGGTCTGACCCAGTATGGCTGTTCTTATGTTCTTTTGTTCTCCTAAGTGATCCAGAAACGAGCAAACAGTGAGGTGGCAAAATTTGTAGATGAGACAAAATTACTCAGGACAATTAAGTCCAAAGGTGACTTGGGAAGAGTTACAAAGGGAGCCCACAAAATTGTGTGATTTGGCAACAAAATGGCAGATGAAATTCAATGTTAAATGCAAAGCAATGCACCTGGCAAAATATAATCCCAACTATGCATACAAAGCGATGGGGTGTCAATGAGCTGTTGCCCATCAAGAAAGAGATCCTGGGCATTTGAGATCATGCTTCCATAGTACTGCAAATTTATAAAATCCTTCATGCCTGTAGCATCTTCAACTGTGGAACACTCATCCCCTAGCTTCAGAAAACTTAAAAATTTTCTCCAGTCATCAATGGGACAGACACAACTGAATGTGCTTTGAGACCATACCACGGAACTTGATGTGCATAAAATTGCTGACAGTTTCATCCAGAAAGCTACAGTGAGATGCAATGGCTTCACACCGGGACGTTAGTGAAGACAGCTTGTAGGTGAGTGCAATGATTTCAATATACCATAATTCATACTAACCTCATTAGGTAGTTCATACCAATGTAATCATTATTAAAATGGTGATGATACCAGTGATAGGCATATATTCAATAACTAGAATATAAAAGAAATGCATAAATATTCTGAAAATAGCTTCCCCCAAAACTGGCACAGACCCCCTCAACAGTACACAACTCTTCAAAAATACCCATCGGCAACAACAAAAGCCAGCCCCTATGGCAAAGAGAATAGACTCTGACAAGTCTAGTGGAAAGGTATACTGAGGCATGCCAAGAAAGACTTTGAAGAGCAACTAGTCAAAGTTTCAAAAATAGCAAAAAATTATTAAGTATATCAGAAACAGGCAGCCACCCAAGCTGTCCTGTGGAGCCACTGGACAATCATTGTGCTAAAGGAGCTCTCAAAGAAGATATGGCCATTGCAAAGAAGCTGAATTAATTATCTGTATCAGGATTTCACTTGCAAAGGATGTGAGGGAGATTCCCGCACTTGAACCTTTATTTTAAGGAGACAAATCTGAGAAGTTGTCCCAGATTGAGGTGTCAACATAGGAAGTTTTGGAACAAACTGACAAATTAAACAGTATTAAGTCACTAGGACCAGATGACATATACCCAAGAGTTCTGAAGGGACTCAAACATGAAATTGCTAAGTATGGTGGTCACTTAAATCAACTTCTGTACAGGTAACTAGAGGATAGCTAATTTCATGCTGATTTTTAAAAAGACTCCTCGTAGGTAATCCTGATCATTACTGGCCAGTATGTCTAACTTTGGTACCAGGTAAATTGGTTTAAATGATAGTAAATAACAGAAGGATCAGACACATAGATGACCATGATTTGTTGGGGAAGAGTCCACATGGCTTTTATACAGGAAAATCATGCCTCACCAATCGGTAAGATTTTTTAGGAGGTCAACAAACACATAGACAAGGGTGATCTAGATGATATAGTGTACTTAGACTTTCAGAAAGCCTTTGATGAGGTCCTTTGCCAAGGGCTCTCCAGCAAAGTGAGCAGTCATGGGAGAAAAAGGAAGGTCCCAGCATGGATTAGTAACTGGTTAAAAGGCAGAAAACAAAAGGTAGAAGTAAATGGTCAGTTTCCAGAATAGAGAGAGGTAAATAATGGTGTCCCCCAGGAATCTGTACTGAAATCCTTGTTGTTTAATCTCTCTTCATCTATACATTTTAGGGTGTGTCTAGACTACATGGCTCTGTCGACGGAGCCATGTAAATGAGTGTACTCGGCAAAAGGAAATGAAGTGGAGATTTAAATAATCGCCGCTTCATTTACATAAAAATGGCCTCCGCGCTGTGCCGATCAGCTGACTGTCAGCACAGCCCGGTAGTCTAGATGGAGATCAGCTGACTCCAGATCCTTTTGTTGTCAGATTCTTTATGCCTCGTTTCATGTTTCATGAGGCATAAAGAATCTGACGACAAAGGGATCTGAGGTCGGCTGATCCCCATCTAGACTATCGTGCTGTGCCGACAATCAGCTAATCGGCACAGCGCGGTGGCCATTTTGATGTAAATGAAGTGGTGATTATTTAAATCCCCACTTCATTTCCTTTTGACGAGTAAACTCATCTACATGGCTCTGTCGATGGAGCCATGTAGTCTAGACACACCCCTAGTGTGTCTGTCTGTCTGTGAGTCCATTTGTTCAAGAACTCCTCCTAAACAGTAAGAGCTAGGGCCACCAAATTTGATAGGCAGATTCCTCTTCTCCTAACTTATAGCAAGGTCAGGATTTGATTATGTCAGGGCAACTTGACAACCTCAGGAAAAGGACAGTTTTCCACAACATACAAAGGGGTGGGCTGCTGCTCAAAGGGACAAGATATGAGAGTGGCCATGGTGGGGAGTGAGCCCGCAGGGGACAGCTATCCTGCAGTATCCACTGGAGCCAGCGCACCACCAAGGGAATGGCCAGCAGGGCGGGGACTCCACCATCTTGCCTGCCAGCACATCAAGTGAGCAGGCAGGCAGGGGATGTTGTGAAGGTCATAACTCTCAGGATTCAAAAAAGATTTCGATAAGTTCCTGGAAGATAGGACTATCAATGGCTCTTATCCAAGATGGTCAGGGATGCAACATTGTCATCTGGGT